CCGATATCGGGTGAACGTGGGCGCCCGATCACCCGATGAGAGTTAGGGCCGATTTATCGGGTAATGTGATCGCTGTTAGGGTGTTAGAGCGCTCAGTGAGTTGTTGCGCAGCGTGCGTGTGAGACGTCAGTGAACGACAACGAAATTTGCGAACAGACAAAAATATCTTCTCAAAAGGAAAAGAAATAATATTAAGTGTAAAACAATTCTAGATAGGCTTTGCATGTGTCTGGTACAATTATAAATTTTATATAAATTACAATAATAAAAACTAATGCTATAATAAACTTTATATTATTGTTGTGCCTGATAGGGTCCATAGTGAGACTAACTTAATTATGTAATATTATTTTAAATTACCTATGGAAACAATAAACTTATTGAGTATTTATACTTTAAGTCATGATATGCATTTCCCGTTGCTAAAAATTTTAAGGTTACAGCACAGCTAACCGCTGTTTTGCGCTATATAAGCTATGACTAAGTTTAATATATGATCAAATTGTACAGAACTCATTCTGTAGTAGTTCAAACTGCATAGTTGGTCATTTAAAATCAAATATTTTTCACCCAACATTTTGTTTTATTATTTACGCCCGCAGTTAAAGTATGGGCTATGCCAATTTTTGGTACTTTGAGAGTGAAGGAGCCATCCTTTCAATGCCACGTTTGCATGCCAACTGAGTTAGGGAGGCGATCTAGTGCAGTGTAATCACAACGACACCAACCGCCCTAAATCGCGGCCGATATATCGTGCCCGATAGATTGGGTAGTGTAATAGGCGCCTAAGACGAATCGATCGACGTAAGAATCATCAAAATCGGCCTACGCATTTGGTCTCTAGAACGCCACATAGAAACAAACATACATACATAGACTGATAAACACATTACCCTCCTTTGCGTCGCGCAGTCGGGTAAATATTAAATTTATTGAACATGTCAAGAAATTTAGTTTAATAAACATAAGTATGTCAGATGCAATAATAATGCCATACATATCATTAACCCTTCGAGCCGTTTTCGCAACACTGGTACCACGGTGGAACTCGTTACGCGTAAATAACACGATATTTCAAGTTTTAATTTTTTTTATATTGCGTGACGTAAATAGGACAAACAGAAGAAGAAAAATACAAATGAATAACCGCCTAACGAAACACAAATACATGTGTAAATGGCTGTTTAAATTTGAATTTGGAATTCCCAACCAAGGAGGAGAAATTTGTGATTAAAGTGGCCAGTACGACAAAACGCCAATTTCATATGTAAGGACCTAATATTATGCTACCTGACAGATGAAACATTGATACTAATTTTGGGACATTTTCTTGTCTATCAAAGAGAATGTAACTTCATTTTATTGTTCTAACAAAAAAAGACATTGTTTGTTAATTTTTTTTATTTACCCATTAGCGCCGTCGCAACACTTGCAACATGAAAGATAATCAACAACATCATCAGCCCTTTAACTGCAAGGGCTCTGGCCTTCGACTGCAAATGCAGCCATGACCAATGGCTTAACGTGTCTTCCGAAGCACGGAGTAGTTCGAGATAATATTTTTTGACCCTTGCGAAAATTGCTTAACAACAACGATCACGTGCCAGAGCGTTTTTCCACTACGCCACCGAGAAACTCAAAGATAAAAATTTAACTAAAACCATTTCGTCCGATTTATTTTAAAAAAAAGGAAAGCAATAATATTATAAAAAAAGGGAAATTAATTTTATACCCATGGTAATATGCATTCCGTTTTTATCAGTTTTGATTTTAATACGATTGAGAAAGAAATACCAGCCAGCAAATTACCTCCATAATTATGAAAAGTAATGCTAAAATTGACCGGGGCTGTTATTATTTCTTTTTTTACTTTGTTCGAACGCATGCATAATGGCGTGAAAAACTTCGACACAAATCCAACGCTGAGGAGCGCTCGCGCAGTACCACAGAACAATATACTCTACCGCAGTACTGAAACAGAACAATAATACTCTATGAGAGTACTGAGCTCAGACGGCCGGTGCGTCGCATTTTGCGTTTATATTTATCGTTTTTATTAAAATAAGATAATAAATTTATGCTTTAAAAATTACAAAATATTAATTCATTATGAAGTAGTCAATATTCTTGTATAGATTATCGCAGATAGAATAATTTCACAGTTAACTTCAAACAATATTTGAAATTTTTGGTTTATAATATTTTTCTTTTTCTATATTTAATCAGACTAATACATACACATAAGGCCTATAAATCTGTTAGGGCAGTCTCCCGGTTTGCGAAAGGTCATGGGTTCGAGTCCCAAATCAGACTTCCTGTGGAATAAGTAGTATAGGCATTTTTCATTAAGAATATATTTCAGTAAAAATTTTCAGTATAGTATAAATTGATCAAATACAATAATTAGAAAAAAAAAATATCTTTATCGAAAGTTTTAATATTTGTAAAAATGTTTTTTTTGGTTCTTGGATGGAGGTCCGGGGATCGACTGGGTAGCTTACTACCGGTTGGTTCCAACACAACTCTTGTTGCTTGCCAAGGACAGTGACTAAAAGCATTTCATCGAACTGAATAAAGGTGTTCCAGCATACTTCTTACTGGGTACTCAGTAATATTTACCCTCAATACGCTTAGAAGACTATAAGAACATTATGCAAAAAGAAGATATCTCTTTTTTCCTATCGATCTAAAGAAATACGATCGACTTGATCTCTTAGAGATAAGTTTGGGATATAATTCAAATTTAATTAATAGGAGATAAGGGAGGAGGAGATGAGGGAAAAGCTTTGGTGAGAACCGTACGCGACTGGTCGCCGTGGCGATTTTTGAGGAGGCCCTTGTCCAGCAGAAGTTTTGTAGAAGTTTTTAGGCTAAAATGATGATGATGATAATAGTAGATATTTTTTATTAATAAAACCCTCTTCAAAAATGTAAATAATACACCTCTTAAAGTTAATTTTTAATGAAAATTCCACGCTTTCAAAATCAAGATGTTATGATTAATAGTTTTATGATTTTCGATATAATGGATATGAATATAATGGAAAATAGATACCCTTAGGAGCATCGGTCAACGATCCGCGGAGTAAACGAGGAACGTACGTAAAAAATACGATATGGACTTGATACTTGATGAATACGATATGATATGGACATAGAAAATGTCTCGTTTTCCACTCGAAGTTGGTTAAAAATACTAACAGATTGTTTTCAAAACTTATTAATTTAAATAAATCTGTACAAATACTAAATTGGGTGCAAATGTAAGGCCTAGGGCCTTTATTCAGATGTCGCACGAAGATACTTTGCATAATCTTGTTAGCCTATATACTTTTATACTTCTTATACTTAGTAGCCTCGTAACAATATTAACTACGAAAGAAAAGCAGGGACGTACTGTTGCTTGAAGTATGTTTATTAACTATGGAATAAATTAAGGGCAAAAGGACCAGAAACAGCAAAGGTTTGAAAGCTATCTTCAACTAAGTACTAATATTTAAAATAAGAGGATTTGTTTTGTTAATAGGTATGTGGGCGTACTCGTATTGCCTTCATAATTGGTAAACCGCATGAAAAATATTGATCCTCTCAGCCTTACATTACGGAGTCTTAAAACATAGATATTGGGATGTCGTGGAATGATTTGCTAAACAAGATAATCATTACAAATGTGATAGGCCTAAAAATTTGGATAGACTTATAAATAATATGGCATCAGGATCAGAAAATAAGGATTTACAGCGAGCTCAAATAATATGGGGACTACAAGGACAAGTACAGGTAATACTTTGAAACTAATATGACGATACTGGGTCGTGGATTTCTCACATACTTACCTTTATTTGTTTTCAACTTTAAGTAGTTTGGTTTCCACGCTGAAGCACTATACTACCAAAGCCAGCCCTGTGAATTCACCGATGTGAACTAGATAATGTATTCACTTCTAAGATACCTATATCTCATTATGGATATCGATTTTCTTAGTGACGTCAGAGTTAATCCTTAGGGCTGTATAAAAGACGTTCGTCGTACAAGAAAAGACGAGTAGCCTCCGCAGCCTCGGCAACCCCACCGCTAAACGAGATTGGTTATTATACTACACTAAAGACTGGAGTAGTTCGTCTACCGATTTTCTTCAGTATTTTTGGTAATAACCATCTCGGGGTGACCATCTCCTTATCCTGGACCTTTTAAGTAAGTTCGATATTTTTTATTTGTTTAAAATTTCATTATTTTATTTTGTGGTTTAATGATGCTTAGGTCACTAGCAGCTCAAAAATCGTAGCCTTTCATATGCATCATGTATATCCGATATATCTCGGATAAATATCAAATCTTTTGATATTTGTTATAAATATTTTATTGTGAACTATGAATAAAAGTAATATTTCAAGGATAAATAAATATGTGCAAATGTTCATACTAATATATACCTACATCAATTAGCAGTGATTACAGAAGAAGATTTATATAGTATATAAAACAGGAACATGGATAGCTAGTAATATTATAGAACAAGGCCTGTGCCTAAGCAGTCAAAACATGACTGATGATGAAAAAATCTGTATGGAGAACGAAGTGGAGCAATAGTGAAAGATCTATTTTGAAAGAAAAAGAAACAATTTTAGTAAAATCCCTCATATTACACTTAAGTAGATTACACGTTAGTAGCTTGATTGATTAAGCGCAGTGACTGGCGCGTTCGGTCTGCGATACGGTTGTTAAGCAACTTTCGCAATGGCCAATAGGATGGGTGACCAAACATCTATTGTCTTGAACTCCTCCGTGCTTCGCGGAAGGTACCTTGATCCGTTGGTGCCGGCTGCATCTGCAGTCGATAATACCCACCAATCCACACTGGGTCTACGTGGTGGGTCATGACCCATTCTCGCTATTTGATTTAATTTAAATAGGCTGGTCATCTGCGTTCCACTGGGATTCAACGCTTATGTCACTACATTTTTTTCTGCAGGTTAATTGTTTTTAGAAGCCGTGTGATCATGGCGATAGCTAGCTTAGATCCTGGGCCAGGCATAGCTGCGCTGCAAGCATGGGGTGGTCAAGTAGCGGCGTACGGCGCCTCCAACCAAACAGTCGTCGATAAAGTACCACCAGAACTGCTGCATATGGTCGATCCACATTGGTATGTAACCTTTCTCATTTTGACAGCTTTCTATTTCTGTATACAGGTATCTTAAGACATTTTATTATTTTTGAAGGTATCAGTTTCCACCCATGAACCCTTTGTGGCACGGCCTACTAGGTTTCACAATCGGCGTTCTCGGCTTCATCTCGATCACTGGCAATGGAATGGTTATCTATATTTTCACAAGCACCAAGGTTTGTCTTGCATGTTTACTTAAGGTGAATTGAATTATTATGATATCTTTTTTAATATAAATAAATATTAATTTGTTTTAATTGCAGAGTCTTAAAACGCCTTCAAACTTACTGGTTGTAAATCTTGCCTTCTCGGACTTCTTAATGATGTGCGCAATGTCACCGGCTATGGTTATAAACTGTTACCACGAAACTTGGGTGTTCGGTAGGTGTTGTTATCACTCTTAAAACGTTCATTGTAATGTTTAGTTTGATGTTTAATTGCTTTTATTCAGGTGCCTTGGCATGTGAACTATACGCTTGTGCGGGATCATTATTCGGCTGTGCTTCCATCTGGACTATGACCATGATTGCTTTTGATAGATACAATGTAATTGTCAAAGGCATAGCCGCAAAGCCCATGACTAATAACGGAGCATTGCTGCGTATACTTGGTATCTGGCTTTTCTCTCTTGGGTGGACTCTCGCACCATTCTTTGGCTGGAACAGGTATAATTAGATAAATTAAGTAATAGACGTCTAATTTTTCCTATTAGTTTTTTCATATCTTAGATTGTAATCATTCATTACAGATATGTGCCCGAGGGTAACATGACAGCTTGCGGAACTGATTATTTGAGCAAGGATTGGTTCAGCCGTAGCTATATTCTTATATACTCAGTCTTCGTTTACTTCTTGCCTCTGTTCCTGATTATCTACTCGTATTTCTTCATTGTGCAGGTAAAGATCCATAAAGTAAACACATAGGACCAAAATCAATATGTAATAATATTTATCACTCTATTTTAATTCCGTAGGCTGTAGCTGCCCACGAAAAGGCCATGCGTGAACAAGCCAAGAAAATGAACGTGGCTTCTCTTAGGTCTTCCGAAGCTGCTAACACAAGCGCAGAATGTAAACTTGCCAAGGTGAGGTTTCTAAAGGCATTCATCAATGAAAATTCAAACATTGCGTTTATTTCATATAAATCGAATCATATTGTTTTTTTTTCTTTAATAATAATGTTTGCCGTTGTTTCATCATAGGTGGCGCTGATGACGATATCTCTATGGTTTATGGCGTGGACTCCGTATCTAGTGATCAACTATACTGGTGTTTTCGAAAGCGCACCAATCAGTCCTTTGGCTACCATCTGGGGATCACTTTTCGCGAAGGCTAACGCCGTATACAACCCAATCGTATATGGTATCAGGTTAGTTGTTACACAAAAATATTATATAAGGTGTTTTGGATCTTGATATTTTAATTGACTTTCATAATTATTTTGCAGCCATCCAAAATACCGCGCGGAATTGTACAAGAAGTTCCCCTCGTTGTCGTGCCAAGCATCGCCTGACGAAAGTGGTTCGGTTGCTTCGGGAACAACTGCTGTATCCGAAGAGAAACCTGCCGCTTAGACACTCTAGAAGAAACCAAGACCACGAAAATCGACTATCGGAGACACGATTTCTGCCAATGCGATGTTATTTATTTTTATACGCAAACATTTACATTTGTACAAAGTTATAAACTTGAGCACAGAGCGTGTGCTGAACAAAGTATTCAGAACACAAACTTTTTTTTAGAAACTGCGTACTTTGAGTTCACGTTTTGTGTTTCGAGTTGAACGTTGCACACTTTTCTTATACCTACCTTACATTTGCTTCAAATGGCCAACGGCATATAAAAAATAACAAAAAAATGATGGATTATCTGCATGTCGCTAGGCCGCCCCTTCCATGAGACTGCTCCTCTAGTTATAGGTACTGCGATTTCTTTACGATGAAACAAGCTCTGTATCTTGGAACAATAAAGTTAATTAACAGGCAAAGTGGTCATTACCACATAAAGAAGTTTTTTATTTATTTTAACCTTATAAACCGTCCCGTTTTCTATTAGAATCACTTAACGTACTAGGTTTTGTTAATTAAATTAAAAATAATGTTTTTATTAAAATTAAATATTTTAAAACTATGTAACATTGTTAATTATATTAATAGTATATGGTGATCCATAATTTTTGTCACACACTACAAATACCATGCAGCGGCCCATTGCCACGGGGCGCAGCGGCAGCTGATTTCGTTGCTAGGCAACGGTTTTATCAACAAGTATAAACAAAGATAATGTCAAAATAGAGAAATCTGTTGCTTGTTTGTATTACAGTGTATTCTTATAATTATTCAGCAAATCTAGGTAGTTGTAAAAAAAAAATTAAGAAAGTGATTAGCAATCAAAATGGCATGCAAAACATCTTATGAGTTACACCACAACTTTCCGAAGATAGCTGATGAAGCTGGTTTTACGTTCAACACCCACCGACCTAGAATTCGTATTGATTGGAACAAAATAAGTGAGTTCTTGTTAATGTATAATATGGAAACATTAAACATCGTTTTATTTAATTTAATGTTCAATAACGAATTAAAATTTTCAAAAATAAACCATTTCTGTCTGCCAAAGTGGCTGCCAATTCGTTCTCGCCGGAATGCACATATTGTTTCTCTTATTTACAGTATTCTGTTTAATCCTTATTCACCAGCTTATCTTAAGGAACGTTTTAAATTCCTTCATAATACACACACTAGAATGTTGAAGTCATCGGAGAACATGAAATTGTCAATACCGATGCATGGCAGTAAATTTATTGATAAATCATTTACAGTCCAAGCTGCACGTGTTTGGAATGCATAGCCAGAAAATATCAGGCGTGCTCAAAGCATAGGTACACATTTTTAAAGAACTAGTCAAAGAGCATTATCTGTCACTCACTCTGAATCCCGTCTGAATCTTATCTGTCATCTAACTAAGGGTTATATTTATATATAACATACATATGTATGTTATTATATTGTATTTTGTACTTCTTTTATTCATTTAATATATGTAGAGATATAATATCATGATAAAGTTTGAGACACCATAAACTACCCTAATCTAATTTAGACATAATTTTCGTTGAGTTCACAAGGTTGCCTGGAAGAAATTACTTTTTAGTAATAAGGCCGCCAATTGTGCATTCACATTTATTGTATCCATATATTTGTTTTTGTCCATTGGTGTACAATAAAGAATTTTTCATTCATTCACTCATTCGATTTTGATGAGCGATTGCGTCAATTTTATAAATAACACCGAGATTATACTCAGAAGTTCTATCTTAGCGCCTTTCTTCTTTATCAAACAGGAGCACTTCTTGCATGTAAAAAAATATGACCAATGTAAGTAGGTATGACTTCAGTTCAAACAAATATAGATATTACCAAACTGAAAAGCTTTACTTCTGTACGCTTTAATCTATCATTTTTCTGGGTAAGTCAAATCCTTATTTATAAAATGCTTGTGTTATTAGGTTTCCGTACACAAAGAATAAAACGGGAACCCTATAAGACTTCGCTGTCTGTCCGTCACCAGGCTGTATCTCATAAACCGTGAAAGTTAGATAGTTGAAAGATTCATCATCAGCCCTTTTACGACCCCACTGCAGGGGCTCAGGCCTTCCTTATGGATGGTTAACCCAGTAGCTCGGTGGCGTAGTGGATAAGCGCCGCGGCCCGCGATCGTAGTCTTTAAGCAACTTTCGCAAGGGTCGGTCACGGGATGGGTGACCAAAAAATTATTATCTCGAGCTACTCCGTGCTTCGGAAGGCACGTTAAGCCGTTGGTCCCGGCTGCATTTGCAGTCGTTAATACCCTCCAATCCGCATTGGGCCAGCGTGGAGGGTCACGGCCCATCCTCCTTAACCATCCATAAGGAAGGCCTGAGCCCCTGCAGTGGGGACGTAAAAAAGGGCTGGTGATGATGTACCTTTTCGTTTTTATTGTATTTATTGGATAAAATTAACGAAAACTTGTTTAAATTTGTTGTTGTGTTAGTGGAAATTTCAGCTAGGATATCTACCTAAGGTAAGCAGTTTTATTTTTTATGTATATATAATAGCTTATCATGTGTTCATGTTATTATAAGTTTGTACATTTATCTAAACAGTAAGGAGGTTTTATAAGATGATTAAGTTATTTTTCTTGTTTTTTGTCAGAAATTATTAAGGTGTCCCTGTATAGGGACAATGGTAACATCGCATACATTTTACTGAACACATAATATTTTTCATTTTAGGTACTATATTGAAATAAACAATGGCCAAACGCGCTTTTAATGCAAGAAATGATTATCAAGGACTGGAAGAAGCATTAGAAAACATTTTGGCTGAAGATGAAGACCCTGATGTCAGTTATGATTTGGTAGCTATCCCTCCAAATCCAAGTGTCCTAACAGATGAAGAAGAAGGTGACGAGGATAACATACAGCAGAATATACTCCCGCGTGATATACCCGGTAGGGTGGAAGTTTTTGTGTCTCAGCGGGACGATGAGTGGGATAGTAGTGATGATGAACCATTACAAAAACTGGTTAGAAAACGAACAGATAACGAACCTCGATGGCGCAAATGTGACAGTTTTTATGAGAATGTTGGTTCAGTCAGTAATAATGTTGAGATGCGCAGGGAAAGACTTATAACTGATCTGAAGGATCTGAGTGCAGTCCAAATATTTGAGAGAATATTTGATGAGGAGGTAATGAACATGACTCTTCACTATACAAAGCTGTATGCCGCACAGAATAACAATCACGATTTCGATGTAACAGTCGAAGAACTCAAAAAGTTCTTTGGAATCATAATTCTCACGGGTTTTCATACACTTCCAAGAGAACGGCTATACTGGTCATTGGACGAAGACTGCAGTGTTCCCATTGTTTCAAGAACAAAGAATAGGTTGTCAAAGAATAGGTTTATAGAAATAAAGAATTTTCTACATTTCTGTGACAATGAAACTGCTGCAGAATCCACAGATAAAATGTTCAAGGTAAGACCACTTGCTGATATGCTCATCAAGAAGTTTTTACAGTGGGGCTTAGTACATGAATTACTATCTGTGGATGAATCCATGATAAAATATTTTGGACGTTATCCATCGAAACAATTTATAAAAGGCAAACCGGTACGATTCGGTTACAAAAACTGGATGATTGCTAGTGCTGATGGTTACTGTTATGGTTTCGACATATACTGCGGGAAATCAACGTTGGCAACCGGAAATGAACCCTTGGGATCGAGAGTGGTCAAGTTGTTGCTGAACAAAATTCAAGCCGTACCCAATGAGCATATAGTTTATTTCGATAACTATTTCACCAGTTTTGGATTGCTGAAAGAACTTCGTGAGGCTGGATTTCGAGCAACAGGGACGGTACGCGAAAACCGGACAAAACAATGCCCTTTGGCATCGGTCAAAAATATGAAAAAAAGAAAGCGAGCAGATTATGAGTACCGTTTTGACGTTGTCAATAAAATTCTATTTGTACGATGGCTTGATAACAGCGTCTGCACAATGGGCACCAATTTTGACAGTGTGACAGTATTTTTTTTTTATACTTACGATAAAAAAATAATAATTCATGTTATATTTTCTACATTTGTATCCTGCATGTATAATAATAATAAAAAAAAATAATAAAAATATATGATTGTTTGTATTTGGATCCAAATGGGTTAAGGAGGATGGGCCTCCACGCTGGCCCAATGCGGATTGGAGGTTATTAACGACTGCAAGTGCAGCCAGGACCAACGGCTTAACGTGCCTTCGAAGCATGGAGTGGCTCGAGATAATATTTTTTTGGTCACCCATCCCGTGACCGACCCTTGATAAAAGTTGCTTAACGACAACGATCGCGGACCGCGGCGCTTTTCCATTACGTCACCAAGCTGAAATGTTTACAGATCATGTAATTCTGACGCCGCCGCAACGAAAAATTTAAGGGTCTTAAGCACAACAGTCGGCGGGTGCAAGTAGCGCTCAGCCCACTTTTTACACATATTTATATTAGACTATCATCGGTGCGGCGCCCCCCAACGCGCGACGCACGGGTGCATTGCACTCCCTGCACCATGGGTAATGACGGACCTGGCTTCTGTCATATCATTGTTGTACCATGATGGTCCAATTTGATGCTCTTAGCTGCCTCAGACAGCGCCACGGCGCCCCATGAGACGGCGGCGCCCGTGTGCATTGCACACCCTGCACTATAGGTTAAGCCGCCCCTGGACCTCCCTAACAACAAACGTGATTTTTTTGCTGTAACCAAACTATATCTCATGAGCTATGATAGTTAATATAGTTGAGATTTCCACATATGATGTATTACTGTTGCTGCTATAACAATCAAATCAAATCAGAATTATTTATTCAGTCTAGGCTGTTACAAGCACTTCTGAAAGTCGAGAGCTACGCCATCGTTTCGTAAATCTACGGCGGGAGACCTTGTACCGAGAAGAACCGGCAAGAAACTCGGCAAGGGCTGCTTTTTTCTCCCTGTTTTATTTCATACAGAGTGACAAGATTGAAAAATGACTTCATTAAAATTTTAAGTCACTTTCCATTACAATGTTACACAATATAAGAGTAAAACAGTATTTTCGTCAATCCAATCACATGTGTAGCCAAAGAAGCTCACCGATACACAATTTACAATTTAATATATATGAAAAATGAGCCATATTTAACACCAAGCAGTTTTATTGTTTAAATATTCATTAACAGTATAATATCCTTTACTGAGAAGACAATTTTTAATATGGGTTTAAAACTTAGGTAATGGTAAATTTAAAATTTCCTTTGGAATTTTGTTATTGTAGTGTACACCTTGACCCATAAATGATGATAGAACCTTCATTAGCCTGCATGACGGCAAAACAAGTTTATCTTTGTTTCTAGTATTAAAATTGTGTACATGATTATGTTTAATATAATTGTTGATATTGTTTCTAACATAAAGTATACAATTGTATA